GTGATGTCCCTTGTGCCTGTCTTTGCTCCCCCAGTCTGCGTAACAGAGAACGAGCTTGCGCCCGTCGATCAATAGGCGACAAATGTGCCGCTGGAGTGCAATGACCATCCGGGCCAGGTCCAGTCCTCATCCTCACGCGACGACCTCCGCCGTCATCTCCGTCCGYCGTACGGATCCTCGGGACGTAATCGGAGTCATCAAGATCGTCAGCGCCTGTGGTCTCACCGCCCTCAGCGGCTGTGGAGCTGTCGTCGTGAGGATGATCGTGCCGCCTCGTCTCTTCTCATCTCGACCTGCTTCGTTTACTCTGTCACCTCCCTCCGCCCCCCCCTGTCCATCTGCGGCAGCTGGCATCTGTCTGGTCTCGTCCCTGTTGCGGAAAAAAGGATGCAGGCGGCGCCGGTGATATAGAATCGACACACCTGTTCCCTTCTTCCTCGCCCGTGACAGCCTCGCAGTTGCCGTCTTGGTGTCGTTGACATCGCTCGTCTTGGCCCGTATAGGCCTCCCATGCCGCTCCTCGTAAGCTCTCATGGAATCATGACAAGTGCCATCGACGTTGCCGATCGATCGCGCCCCCGCGGGCACATCTGCCGGTCCATATGCTGATGTCTGTCCGATATCGCCCGCCCTCCGTTCCATGCCCGCACCGTCGTAGAAAGACCTCCTAGGCAATGCGCTCGGCGCGGCCTGCCCGTGGGCGGCAGGATCAGCGGCAGAGGGGCGTGAGGGTGGTGGACACATAACGTCACGGATCCCCGTCAAATGCGATCGAGGCTCATCTGTGTGCCCGTCTCCAACGTCATGTGTGCTGGGCCTGACAATGCTGGGGTGTGCGGTCGATGACCCTCTACACTCGATGCCCCCCCTGAAGGACCGTCCACCATCTGCGCTCCCTGGCTGCGCTGTATCCTCGCTCACGCCCTCGCCTCCGTCCGAGCGGATAACTCCGGGAGGCCTCGCCTCTAAAGTCTCCGCTAGCCCTCGATGTGGCTCTTGCTGCGGGCCCTCCTCTGGTGGATGGACTGATAACACGCCGTCCGATAACAGCTGCGAACCATGACCCCCTGCGCCAAAAAATCTCCAGACGCTGCCTCTAGTGAACCTTCCAGATTACGTTGACCTGCAACGTGTGGTCCACCACGACGGTTCCGTGCCACCTCCTCCGCCAACCCCTGTTGCACCGCCCACGGTGCACCGACATGAAAAATGGCGGGAGTGCCGGACTCTGGAGGATGTAGTATCGTGTCGCCGCCGAACTCGTCGAACCCTCTGTCACGACGCGCGTCATCTCGACTAGCAGGCTCCGGTGGTGCCACAACCGGCAAAGTGGGAGATATCAGTAGCGATATATCGGGCAGAGATGCCAAGGCGGAATCCATGGTGAATAGCTGGTCGGTGGGCGGAAGACTGTCAGGCGGGCAGTCGAGGCCGACGTGGTGGTCTGTCAGAGGACGTTCGTCCTCTCGTCCTTTCCACAAGTGGGAGTGGGTGTAACCTCTCCCTCCTCTAGACCGCCGTCACTCGTGTGAGAAGGCGGCTCACGTCGTGCCTCGCCGTTCTCCAAACCCGCTCCTGTGGAGTGGACTGGGGCGCCTGCTGGAGTGCACCGAGTCTCCGCCTGGCGGAGTGGACCGGGTCCTCCGAACTCCGTCTCCTCCTCTGTGCCAACAACCGGTGCTGGCGACCGGGGATGAGTGATCCTGAATCCTGTATCCTCCTCCGTCACTATCATATCAGTGTTCGAGGCTAGCTCCTCTGCATGAACCGGGTCGCGCTGCGTCTCGTTGGAAGGATCTCCCATCTCGTCCTCTGACACGGCAACCGGGTCCTGCCGCATGTCACGTGCCCCCGTGTCGATTGCAATGTGGACACGACGTCTGCGTACACGAGACGCAATACTGTCATCCCGCTTACCCCCGTGTCTCAACCGCTTCAAAACGTAGCGACCGCGGGGCATAAAATCGTCGTCCACACGCTCGTCAACCCTATCGCCACGGCACCCGCTCCGTCCACCATC